TGGGGTGACAGGTGACGAGGGGGGGACCCCGTTGTGGGGTGACAGGTAGGCAAGGGGGATCTGCCATGGGGTAGGAGGTGAGCTGGGGGTCCCTGTTGTGGGGTCACAGGTGAGCTGGCGGTCTCAGCGGTGGGGTGGCACTTGGGCTTGAGGGCTCTGCCGTGGGGTGGCAATGAAGGCTGAGGGGGAACTGGAAAGCCCCTGCACACCTGGGCAGGTGGGCTGGGGGTCCCTGCTGCAGGGTGACAGGTGAGCTGGGGCTCCCAGCCGTGGGGTGGCTCTGGAAGCCGAGCACAGTGGGGATAATTGGAGCTGGGTTTGGGCACAGAGGGGCCGGGCTGGCACTGCCAGGGCAGCGTAGGGAGCAGGCTGGGGTGTGACGGCTGTTTTGGGAGGGCGAGGCTTCCTGCCCTGTCAGGCGTAGCCGGCGTATCCTCTTCTCCTCGCCGTGGATGTTGGCACGGAAAAGCCCCAATATTGCTGGCATCCAGCTGGCACCGCGGCTACGTGATGCTGGCACTGCCAGCACCCTCCCTGCGTGCATGGCGCTGCACTGGGGGCTCGGGGGGACTGGGCCACCCCCAGCCTGTCGAGGAGGTGCCACCTGCCATTGTGGACCCCCATGTCCCCTCGGGGCCCGCGGGGAGCCGGCTCCAGGCGCGCTCCGTGTTTTCCCGGCACGATTTCCTCCTTTGGCAGCAGTGACGGGAGCGGGGGCGGGGATGGGGGGAGCCTGGGGGAGACACAAATGTGCGACTGCAGCATCCTCACTCCCATGGCTGCATCCCCCGCGCCTCCCCACGGTTGCCTTAGCAACCTCCTATCGATGGGGTATTTATAGAGGATGGGAAGCCGGAGGGGGGGCATCGGGAATGGGTGGGCGTCTGCTAGGTCAGCCTCCAGCTCCAGGCTTCTCTCGGCTTGCGTGGGGGCAGGAGGGATGCTGCTCCCCTCGGCGTCAGCGTGTGCTCTGCTCCCGCTTTTCCTGCTCGCTGGAGCCAGGGGAGGTGGCCAGGAATTTGCATGTGGAAATAAAAATAAGCGGCTGGGACGTCTGCCCTTCTCACCGGCATTGTTTGTGCTTGGAGGCTTGTGTGCAGCTCCCTGATTGTGGCACTGACACAGATACGTGGAACAAAGTAAAAGAGTGTAAATGTAATGAAACAGCATTAAATTTGTTGCCTGGTGTGTGATGTGAGAATATCCTTCTTTCTGTGTCTTTGTTCTCCTGTCCATCAGAGGGGGAGGATGCCTGTAACAAGGAGGGTTTGTGTGGAAACTGTGGCATGTGCTCTGGGCTGTGCTTTCTTTTATTCCGGGGCTTTGGGTCCCTGTAAGAACTGATGACAGCAGAAGTGGTCAGGTGGTCCCTGCCCAGAGCCTGTGGGGGAATTCATGGATCCAGAGGTCTCTCACATCCCCCAGAAGGGCTCAGAGAAGCAGGGTTGGGCTGTGGGTCACTGGAAGCAGATCTCTCCCATGTACTTCTGGTGCTGCTTTCCCTCACTGCTTCAACTCCAGCCTGAAGTTTGCAATCTGAGCTTCCCACACTGTTGGGAAGAAGCTGCTTTCTCTCTCTGGACACAGCTCCAGGCTTGCATGCCCTCTTGGCACTTGGAGGTGTAGGAGCCTTGGAAAGCACAGCAAACCTGATGCGGGCAGGGAGAGGGGCTGCATTTACTGGAAGGTGGCTGTTGTGGGGTGTGCTGGTGTGCAGCATCTGCCCTTCTGTGTGCCTGCCTTTCGTGTGAAAGGAGAAGTGTGTTTCCAGCCCTGCTGACCCTGTGAGCAGCTCTGTGCTGTCCCTGACCTCACCCCAGCAGAGCAGATCCAAGTGCTTTGGGAATAACTGGATGTCTAAAGTCCTGGGCCTGAGACCAGCGTGTGGTTTAGTTCCTGCTGTTTCCAACCATGCTTGCTCCTTCATCTGCAATAAATCCCTGCAGGAGCTGGGCAGTCCTGTCCCCTCTGACTCCTGACAGAGTTGTGGCTTTGCCACAGCAAGTGTCACACACAGCAATAGCCAGCCCAGGGCACTCTGATCCACGGGGCATTGTGCACAGGGAGAAGACAAAGCATGGAAAACAAGCAGAGATCCTCTGCTTCTGCTGGGCTTCCTGTAACTTCTGTGGGGTTTTGTTTAGTTCAGTTTTGCTTTTGAAGCACAAAAATTGCTTGTCCAGCTGGAGAGTTGTTGTCCTGGGTGTGCAGGCAGCTCTGTCACTCTGTTGCTGCCCTTATCTTGGCCCAACAACCAGATTGTGGGTAGGAGTTGCAGAAGTGAGAACAGGCACGTCTGTGAAGTTGCTCTAAAATAAGATGATTGCTTCACCTGTATCCATCAATCTCTTGTGGAAGGGAAGAGCACCAGGCTGCTCCCAGCAGTCTCTGACATGCAGGTCTTCTTGTCTGCTGGTGAGACATGGGGTCTATCCTTCATCCAGTTTTTCCCTTCCTACTTTGCTGGTCTGCAAGGGCCCTGCTTCTCCCTGGGAGCTGAGGGTGCCCTGAGCCCCTCCAGCCCCTCCAGGCAGGTGAGGAGCAGGGAGGCAGCTGGAATCCTTGGCTCTCTGCAGGGGCACTGCTGGGCTGGATCTGCCATGGGTGCACTGCTCAGCACTATGCTTTCTGCATTAATCTGATCCTGGGTGATGGATCTTTGGGCTTTGAAACTGGTTGGAAATGTAAGCTGTCAGTGACTCTCTGTTTTCTTTCCCTGCAGGTAGGCAGGAGCCCCCTTGGCCGAGTGAGGCAGCATGGCAAGTAAGTGCTCCCAGGCAAGGCGGAGAGGGGCTGGTGGTGCTGGAGAGAAGGGGATGTTTGACAGCCATCTCTCAACAAAGGGGTGCCTGTGCATTTTGGGGGGTGTCATCCTCTCTGGGGAGCAGCTGCCATCAGCTGTTGGCCCTGGGTGAGGTCTGAGGTCCGGCCTGACTTGTGCTTCTCTCTCCCCTCTGCAAGGTGGGAGTCGAGAGGAGGTGCTGAAGGTCTGACCTCTGCAGCATTTCTGTCTCTGTGTGCTGCTTGCTGTGCAGGACAGGCCTCCCCAGGGTTCTCTGGGCTGCCTGTCTGCTCTGACATCTCTCATCAGCAGTGCTCCTCGTGCCCATGGCTGGCACCCTGGCAGTGCCCACCCTGGGGGCCACACTGCCCTGTGTGGCACCGGGGCTCTGTGTTCTGTGCAAGCTGCCGAGCTCAGCCCCACCCTGAGCTCGCTGTGCCACACCCAGAGCACTGCTGGGCCAGCACTAAAGATGGGCTGAGCCTGGCAGGGCTGCAGAGAGCTGTGTGGCCTGTCCAGAGCTGGGCTCAAGCCTCTCTCTGGCTCTCCTGGGCGGCCTGCATGGAGGTTGTGTGCCCTGGTGTGATGGGAGCGTGAGGAGGAGATGGAGATGGAGAGATCTGTCTGGGATCTCAGGATTTGCTTGGAGTGCCACCAGAGCCAGCTGTGAAGGTGGAGGCAGTAGCCACGCTGGGGAGGAGGAGGAGGAGGACCCCAGGGATGACAGGTATGCCTTCTTTCATTATCTCTGCTGTGCTGGTGCGGGAGGGAGCAGAGATCTTCAGGCAATGTTTTTAAAAGGCTGCTTTAATCTTCAGTTAATGAGGAGGGTGCCCAGCTGGGTCCCTGCCTTCCTCCACTGCTGCCTTTTCTCCTTCCCAGAGTTCAGTGCTGGCTCACCAGCATGTCCTAGTGGTGGAAGGTGTCTGCTGTGGTGGCAGTGTCCCCTTCATGGTGACCCTGATGTGCAGGGGGGATGTGGTGATGGGCAGGTTCTCCACCACATGCTCCCTGCCATCCCTGGAGGCAAGGAGGCATGTGCCCTTCAGGCACAGCCACAGTCCTTCCCTAGAGAAGCAGCCCCCCAAGCAGAGCAGCTGAGACATGGGGAGGTGTCCACCAGGGGCCAGCAGCACCTCAGGAAAGCCAGCAGGAAAGGGCTGAGGTGAACCCAGCCCTTGCTCCTGCTTTCCCTGCCTAAAAGCTCTGATCTTTCCTGAGCACCGGTTCTCCAGCTGGTGTGGGGAGGCTTGGAGAGGCACAGGGGATCAGCACTGGGGCTGCTGGGCACTGGCAGGTCCCCTCAGCCCCCTGGGTTGGGGACAGGACCTGCCTGGCTGGCTGCTCTTCATGTCACCTGGGGATCCAGTAGAGATGAGAGGTTTCCTGAGGGCCCCTGGTTTTCCTGCTCTGGTCCTGAGCCACTTGGCACTTTCAGGGGGAGGGAGCAGTGACTCAGTTTCTGCTCTCCTGACATTTCTATGTCCCTGAGGGAAATTGCATGTGGGGAAAAACACACACCTCTGTCACAGCATGCTTGCAGTTGGGACAGTGCTTTTGATACCTGCCTGCCTGTGTATCTGTTTTTATTTCCTACCTTAGTGGCCAGCTCAGCATGGCAAAGCAGGGAAGGGGTCCAGTGACTACTTTCTGCAGGGATGGATGGAAAACCCTGACAGTGAGATCTGCAGCCAAGCCTGTTGCTCTAAGATGTGCTGAGGAAGTTGAAATCCAAGTCTTGGGCTCAAGTGCCAAGGAGGGGAGAGTTTATACCACGGCCTGATCAAGGTGGGAGGCAAAGGAGGTGAGGCCAGACTTCTCCAGCAGAGTACAGGACATTTGCAGAGTGAATGTTGTCTTTGTAAAATTTCATCTCCTTCTGGAAAGGCTCAAGACAAGGTCAGCCTGCCATCCTGTTCCCTCTGCAGCCAGCATTGCCCTCCTCAGCTGTGAAAGCCAAGGCAAGCTGATCCCTGCCCTTCTGCAAGATGCCTTCTGTGCCTCTTGAAAATGCTTTTTCGGTTGTCCTTGTAAAAAAAATATTGGTTTGCATAATAAAGTCGATTCTGAGGGAAGATCTGTGACTCACATCATTCATGCTGCTCTTCATTCACACCTCAGTGGTTCAGCCCTCTGCAAACTCTCACAGAAGCAAGGCATTAATAAATCACAAGGGGAAAATGCACCTACACAGCACAAAAGCAGCTCAGTGCCTCCAAGCCCAGGCTGGTGTAGCACAGTAGTAGTTGTTTTTTACACCATGATCTTGTCCCTGTTGCTATTTCCAAATACTCCCACAAATACCTTGCTGTATTGTTTCAGCAGCCGGATACATGGAACGTAAAGCAGAAGGAAACTTGCCTTTCTCCCTGGCAAAAGGCTCCTAAGGAAAGAAGTTGGTGGCTTTTCACTGACTGTTTTGCTTGTGGAGCCAGTATTTTGTTAGCACCAAGCTGGTGAGATGGGAGATTGTGTCCCCCTGCCTCCTCTGATACTCCTGCTGCTGTGTGAATAGGTTCACCTTGTTGATCCAGTGGAAGACTGAGCCTGAGGGTGAAGGAGGTCAATATGTTCCTGTGGATCACCCAGCTGAACTGATTCATCTTCCCAAGGGGAGCAGCAGGATTTTGTGGCTTGGTGGGAAGGGCTGGAAGCAGCCTAGAGCTGAGTGTGTTGAACTGCATTGTGGAAACACTCATTCATGAAATGTGTGTTTGGATCCTGGAAGGATCATGTTTTGTGTGAAGTTTCTGCTCTCTGAGCAAACAGCTTCTTTGCCTCCTGTGCTGCTGCAGGTCCTGGCAGGTGCTGGCCTCCTGCACCCCCTGGAGGTATCCCTCTTGCAGGATATGGAGAGAGGCTTTGGTGTCCCTCTTGCAGGCAGGAAGGTGCTGTTCCTGCTCTGTCTGGCTTCAGGACTGCATGCACTATGGGAGGACTTGAGGAGTCTCCCAGGCTTTGGGAGCAGAGGAAAGTTTGTGAGGCCTCTGCATCAAAACACAGTGGGGATGAGAATGTGCTGCTGTGTGAGGAGAGGTTGCTCAGGCCCCTGACTTACATCCCCTGTGCTGTCCCTGTGTTTTGGGCATGTTTGCCCTTGTTCTCCTGGACCTGGGAGAAGACAGGGGTTTCTCTGGGGCCTGAACAGAGTCCTTGATGCCACCTGAGCTTGCATGACGCTGAGCAGCTGGCAGCAGGGACACCAGCTCTCAGCAGGCTGTCATGTTGAACTGTGGGCTCTGAGTCCCTCTTGGTGCTGGCCCCCTGTCCTGGCACAGCTCTGTGTCCCAGCCCTGCAGGGTCTTGCTCTCCTGGTGGGATCTCCCTTGCCCTGCAGCAAAGGGGCAGAAAGATGAAATCCATCAGGGGCAGAAGGTTGAAAACCAGTATTTTTGGAGCCTTTTGTCTCCCTCAGCTGCTCTGTGTGGCTGCACCTGCCACTTCTGGTGTCTCTAGCACCTCAGCCCTGACAGGAGGACTCCTGGTGCCATGTCTCTGTGCAGACCCCAAGACTGCTGTGCCCCTTTGGCTGTCCCACTTGCTGTCCTACCTGATTGTAGCCCTGGGTTTTTGGTGTGGCCATCAGGAAGCTGGGTTGGAAAGCTTGGCTGGGCAGAGGCCAGCTATGGGGTATGGGTATCTGTCCCTGCTCACAATGTCTGTGCCTTGTGTGTTGCAGTGTTCTTGGGGGCCAGGAATGCCCACTCGCTGCTGAAACGCTTTCCCAGGGCCAATGGCTTCCTGGAGGAGATCCGGCAGGGCACCATTGAGCGGGAGTGCATCGAGGAGGTCTGCAGCTATGAGGAGGTCAAGGAGGTGTTTGAGAACAAGGAGAAGACGGTGCGTGTGTCCTGCATGTGTGTCCCAGGGCGGTTGGGAGGGCTCACCCTCAGCAGGCTGCAGACAGAGGGAGAGCACAAGGGGAAGAGCCTCTCCTGTTCCTTTTGTCCTGGCTGCAGGCAGCATGTTGTCGCCTCATTTCCCAGCATGGCTTTCCCTTCTCAGGCATTGCTTTTGCCAGGACTCCCTGCCCAAAGCTGCAGGTTGAGCTAGTGCTCCCCTGGCACGTGTGGCAAATCTCTGCTGTTGTCCATGATATTCTAGGCTGGGCTTGGTGTGGAATAAATTTTTCCCTGCTTGCTGTGGGATATTGAGGGACGTTCCCAGGACCTTCTGTGTTGGTCCCACAGCACCTCAGCTTGAAGGGGTGGGGGACATCCAAAACACTGCCCCTTCTGTGGGCCTGGGGAGGGCAGTGGTTATTGCTGGTGGTGGGTGGGGTCCTTCTCCCACCTGCAGCACGTGATGGTTGTTTGATGGTTGTTTCTCTGTTCCCGTCACAGATGGAGTTCTGGAAAGGCTACACCAGCTCTGTGTACTCTGTCAAGGACCCCGGGCACAGCACGGAGCGCTCTGACGCTATGTACGTGGTGGTGCCCCTCTTGGGAGTGGCTCTCCTCATAGTCATCGCCCTGTTCATCATCTGGAGGTGCCAGCTGCAGAAGGCNGGCAGGGTGAGCAGCCAGGGCCCCAGCCCAGGGGATCAGGGGCTGCAGTTGTTCAGCTTTGCACAATCCACCTGCAAATCTCCTGGATCAGAGGCTTATTGCAGATCAGAATTAAACCCTTTGGGTGTCGGGAAGGATTGGGGAGCTTGCTTTGCTGGTAGTCTATGAATTATTGGGGTAGGTTCACCTAATGGGTTCAGCTTTGAGGCTTGCTGTCATCCTTCTAGACAGACTTAGTGGCTGGCAGGTCCACAGTCCATGTGCCCACTCTGGGCTGTGCTGCCTGTTTTGGGGTTCGAGGGGCAGTGAAACACCAGCAGGTTGAGCTCCCCAGTCCTCAGAGCCAGCCTGAACTTTTGGTTTACTCTTCCTGGCCCTGCTTGTCCTCCACGGGGTTTGTTGTTGTAAGACTACTGGCCCAAATGAGGAGCAAATGGGGAAGGTAATGAGAGCTGTGCTGGCCCCGTGCCCCCTCCTGCTCACCGGCTGCCACAGATGGACAGGGGCAGGCAGGGCCTCTGGTGACAAATTGTGCTCAGAGCTGAGCAGGGTCTGGCTGGCGTTTGGACAGCAGTGTTTGGATGCTGATAGCAGAGCTACAGCAGGGACCATTTGCTATTTTCTTTCCTTGTCCCAAACTGAAACTCTCCCAGGAGCTGCCAGTGGCATTTTCTTTGAATGCTTGGGTAGGAGCAGTGGGCAGGGACGGGATGAGTGGCCCTGCTGGGGCCAGAGGCTGCATCAGCCTTGCACCCTCTGCTGAGGAGCTCTTCTGTCCCTCCTGCTGTAGTCCACATTTCAAAAACTCAAAGGAGAGGGCAGGGAACACTGGCAAGTGCTTGCTCTGCCATCTGTGAGGATCAGTGGGATCTGGCAGCTCCCTGGGGTGATGAGCCATGGGTGCCTGAGCAAGACCATTGCCCTGATAGTGCCTAGGGTCCATCCCTGCCACGTGTCCTCCCTTCCTGTCTGTATCGATCCTCTCTGGAGCCATCAGCTGCCTCCTGGTGGCTCTGTGCTTGCCACCACTGTAGCCCATCACTGTCCTTGTCGTGCCCTTTGTGCTGTCCCCAGCACAAGCCCAACACACTGTGCCCATAGCATGCCCAACACGCAGCCCCATCCGATGCCCACTGCACTGTCCCAATCCCATACCCATCATACTGCCCCACCATTTCCCATCCCTTTCCCATCTCCCTTGCCTCCTTTATGCAAATGGCTACAAAGAGCACTTAATCATCCTTGTTAATTGTCTCTACCCTCCCCTGTTCCCCCCCGGGGATTTTCTCACAAATGGTGTCCAAATTTTCCCTTTTGTGTTTTGCTTTTCCACCAGAGATTGCAGCCCCTCCGCCCCCAGCCTCCCCCCGGCCCTCTGTTTACACAACTGGGACAAATTTCACACCGCTGTCCCCACAGCCCCAAAGAATTCGTGAGTCACGGCCGAGGCAGAGCTATAAATGTGTCCCCACCGAGGGTCTGCAGTGTCACAAGGGACAGCATCTCCTGCCACCATGCAAGCTGCTGCCTGCTGCCTGACTGCCCACGGGCTCCGGGTGCCGGTGCCCAGTGCCTGCCCAGCCCTGGGGNCGAGGACACGGCGCAGGAGCTCACCATGAGCGCCTGGGCCGCCTGGATGTCGGCGGGCAGGTTGAGCAGGGAGCTGTAGATGTCGCACTGGGTGATGCCCGTGCTGTACGTGGCGCACTCCATCCACAGCCCCTTAGTGAAGCTGATGGCTGTCACGATGCTGGAGCCGATGTAGGAGCTGGTTTTCCAGCTGGGCAGCAGCGTGGCCGTCAGCGTGCCGATGTAGCCTAAGAAGGCCACGGTGTAGCCCAGCAGCTGGAGCCCCATGGACACCATGGTGGCGGCTGGCTGTCTGTCACCTCTGTCGCTGGCCGAGGCTCGCAGCTTGTCGCCCAGGTCCCTGCCGTGTGCTCACGTTCCCATGGCCCTGCGAGAGGCTCCGCTCGCAGCGCTGCAGCTCCACCCCGCTGCCGGGGGTGCCGGTTTTGTGCGGGGTGGGAGCCCGGGGAGTTACCTGCGGGAGCGGAAAGCAATCCCTCCCGATTAACGATTGACCCGAGCCCGTGCAGGAGCGCCAGGCGCCCTTTCACCCCCGCTATCTCCCCGGGCAGGCTCCAGAGGCAGAGCCGCGCTGCCCAGGACGGATGCCAAAGCCCTCCCCTGCACTGACGCCGCGGGCAGGGATGGAGAGCCATCTGCTGCTGGGGGGAAAGTGCCCACTGCCTTCCTCGAGCAGTCTTCCCTGTCTTCTGTGATGCCTCGAGCTGAGGAAGCCAAAAATGCCATGTCTGCACCATGCTATTTGGGACCTGCTGGAGCTGACTGCAGGTGGTGAAGGCAAAGCTCCCCCAGCTGAGGAAAGGGGATGGCACCTTGTCCCCATCTGCACGGGGCTCACCCGAGGCATCTGCAGCCACCCATGAGCCACCCCGAGCTGCTGAGGCTCCTTTGGCATAAAGGGACATGGCCACCTGAGATTGAACCATGGATATCAGCATTTCTGAGCTGCTGGAGACAAGGATGGAGAGGGACGCATGTGACAGTGACACCTGCATCCCCAGGAGAGCCTGGAGGCCCACAGAGGGCAGAATTGCATCAGGGCTGGCATCTCCTTTGGGATGCTTTGTGGAAGCATGCCAGCCAAGTGGGGTGACCTGTCCTGTGGAGGGGTGACCTGTCCTGTGGAGGGGTGAGCAGTTCGGGGTGCAGCTCCTCTGGGATTTTGTGCCGGTGCCACCTCCCGCCCACAGCCCTGTACACAGGCAGGGGAGGTTGGCAGAGGTGGTGGAGAGGGTTGGTTTGTTTTCCCTCTGCTTTGTTTAAAAATTCCTCCTCCTGTGGTGCCTTGCGAAACCGGGCTGAGCCCGGCACCGCGGCCAGTGGCCTCCCTCCCCCGGGNGCCCGCCCGAGCATTCCGTGTCCGTTCTCTCCAGACTGTCCAGCGCCACTCCCCCGCCCTCCTACGAAGAGGTGACGGGCCAGCCGGAGAGCAGCAGCAGCGGCGAGGAGACCAGCGTCTCCTACAACGAGCCTCCGCCCAAGTACGAGGAGATCGTGGCCACGGCCCCCGCCGCGGGCAAATAGCGGGTGTGCCTCCCTGCTGCCTCTTCACACTGTCACACTCACCCAGCCACCCTCCCTTCGCCGTGCCTGGCACCCCCTTCAGGTGTTCGTCAGGCCCCCATCTCACCTGTACAATCTGGTGCCATCACACAATAGCCTTACCCTCCTAACCAAAAATGGCTGTCCCCAGGTGGGGTGAAGCAGGGCTGGCTGTGGGATGGCTCTGGAGCCGTCTCCTGCCCCTCACTCCCCACTCACGTAAGTGCTGTAGCAGCCAGAGCAGAGCAGCAGCTTGTTCCTGGCTCAATGTGGGGGTCTCCCCATGGTGCATTTGATTTCCTCACTTCCCCCTCCAACAGACATAACATTTCCCATTATTAGAGCAGCCTTGCTGCCTCCCTGGGCTGCTGCTCAGCCTCACCCCTTGTTCTGGGCCCTGTTCTACTGCTCAGGACTCTGATTAGGTGATGGAGATGCAGGATTGGTGTGGCAAATTTTTGTCCATCCCTGCAGTTGGTGGGGCCAGCTCTGTGGGGAGATGGTGATTTCCCCATGTGGATTTGTTGCTGAGTGGGAGTGGGGAGCCCGGGCCACACTGTGGTACCTGTAGGGATATTTGCTGTGTGGAGATCAGGGAGGAGCAGCTAGAAGGTGCTCTCTGATCTCCTGGATCTCTTTGGAAAGGGAGAAAGGGCTCGTGGTGGTCTTGTACTTGAGGTAAGTGACTTAGGAGTAGCAGGGCCTTTTCCTGATGCTCTCTGCTCTCCCCCTGTGGGTGCTGAGCAGCTGGAGGTGTGGCTGCTGCGGAGCTGGCCAAGGGGGTCCTCTGACCCCGAGCCAACTGTGGTCTCATGGCTTTAAGTGATGGGGATTCACCTCTCTCCTGGAGTGTGGCCTATCTGGTGTCTGCCCCAGAGGTGAGAGCCTGCAGACAGGCCAAACCTCCCCTCTCCCTACCCCAAACTTCTCTGCCCTGCCTGGCTCCTCTCTTTGGGGCTCTTTGTCCTCCAGAGCAGGTACAATGGGATGTTGCATCCCACTCTCCTCCTGACCTCTCGGGTGGGCAGAGTGTCCAAGGCTGTGGCCTGGAAGTCCTGCTGACAGGGGCAGGAGCCACAGGACCATGCCTTGACAGTCAGGAGCAGGGCCAAGCCCTGCTTGGGTGGTTGTGTAGCCAGGGCAGGGCAGAGCAGGGAGCTTTGCTGTGGGATCAGTCTCCCCTTTCCCTGGGCAGCTGCCTGTAGGGTCCAGGCAACGGGGCTGTCCTTCCCCAGTCATGTCTGATGGATTAATCCAAGGGTTGTGCTCCAAGCCCCCAGAAGCAGCCCAGAAGCTCCCAGCACTGCACCACCCGCTGTTCACCCAGCAGCAGCCTCTCCACCAGCACCAAAAGGCTATTGTCCATCCATCAGTGGCCTGCACCCCACCCGGCCCCGGCGATGCCCTCCAGCTGGTGCCCTCAGCCCAGAGCTGGGGCTTGCCAGCCTGGCTGCTCCTGGGCCAGGACATGCTGGCACCTCGTCTGCCCCCTCCCCAGCCTTAGCAGGGTAGGGTTATGGGGAGAGCTGGCAGCTCAGGGCCAGAGCTAGAGAACAGCAGAGGGAGACACAAGGGTGCTCTGCATCCTCTGTCTTTGATGCTCGGTCATTATCCCTGCAGTTTGTATTCTGTAAAACTTGGTATATTTCTGTGCAAAAAAAAAAAAAAAAAGGTATTTATTAAAAAACCCTCACTGTCTGAGTGGCACAGGGTGGCTTTTTCCCACAAAGGGTGTTGTGGGGGACAGTGATACCAATAACCCCCACCATGGCAGCTGGACTGTCCCTAGTGAGGATGGAAGCATCCAGGAGTGAACCCCACGCATCCAACTGGAGCTCTGAACTTCGCCTGGCCGTGTGGTGAGGTCTGAGAAACCCTCTGAGAAATCTGAAGGGTGTCCTGCGTGCCCCGAGCTGCCGGCAGGTGAGATGCAGAAAGGTTTTCTGAGGGTCTTTGAGGGGATTGGGGTGCACAGGTTGTCCTGCCGTCCTCTGTGCGCTCCTAAACCCCTTAGATAATCCCCTTTAAATAGCAAGACTAGGGCAGCGGGGGATTTATTTTAAGTCCTTTCAAACCCAGATTTTACGGTCAGGTCCTGGACCCTGTCCGCATTCAGAAAGTGTTTAAAAGTGCAGTTAATCCCGAGGGGATCATTTATCGCTGCGGAGGGCAGAGATTAGCTCCGGCACAGGGCGGCCCGGGGCTCTGCT